GGGATTTCGAAGAGATATTTTTTTTTTTTTTTTCAGTAACTCCCAGACTCGCAAGAAATGTGTGTCTTCGTGTTCAAGAGTAAATGTTTCTTTATTTTTCCAACAATTAAACGGTTAAGCCTCTCGTTGAACGAGTAAAAAATGCCGACGTTTTAACGTTGCTCTCAGGAACACACGAGCATAAACGAGATCGCAAGCAGCGGCCCAGGAAAAAAAGAGCTACTTCTTTGGAAGATGTCTCGGGTCAAGCACGTCAAGTTTTTTACGATCTCGTGGAGCTGCGACGCGTAGACGTTGATTGTAGAGAGTGTCTCGTCATGGAGGGGTGTTGCAGGCAAGAAGATACACTTGTTCTCTCTCTCTCTCTTTTTTTTTTTGTTTTTTTAATGAACCACGTATATTTCGAATAGATCTGTGCGCACATCACATATGTAAGCACGCAGAAACAATCGGAGCTTCGGTATGACACGCGCGTCTTACATTACAGGCTAATTATAATTATTCAGTATCAGTGTTGATCGACTTTATTGCACATGCTTGTCTCTTAAACGTTTCCACTTTTCGTCGATTTTCGTTTTATTTAAAGTTTTTAATGTCCGAGACGCAGTGGACTGCCACGTTGTTGTAATTTTTGTGAAACCGCTTCAAACATACAATGACGGATAAAAGAAAATTTAAAAGTACTCGCTAAATATAATTTCATTTCGTGCTGCTTGAAATTTCCTTCCATTCGCTAGTGTACAATAGTGCAAACGAAACACGTTTCGTTTGAATCGTTGAAACATATATCGTGGAATAATTGTCAAATGACAACAATCGTGTTTTACGTGGCAGTCATCATAGAATGACGATAATCTACCGTCACATGTCGCCTCGAAATAAATAAATAAACTCCGCTCACCGATACCCTTCGAGATTGCATTTTATACAGTTATTTACACGCTAATTTACACGATTCTCGTCCTAGACTGTGTGATATATTTATAAGATAAATTTCATAGTTAACGCGTATAGTGGGTTGCTCGAACGCTACGTCGATTAATCGATAACTGTGCTCTTTAATCGTTACTTCGAAGTGGATAGCGTGAACGACTTTAATCCGCATCCATTCGAAGACAGATGGGAACGCCGGCTATTTAAATTTACACTGCTTTACGTCTAGTTTGATTTTTAACATTCATTTAGTCGACAACATCTTTTGATTCACGTTCGAACGACGGCAGATAGACTAGTTTAACAATAACCAAACTAACTTCAAGACTATACAAAGACAATATATCCCCAAACTTTATTCTAACTTTATTCTTTCGATTGAGTAGAATGTGTCGATAAAAAAAAAAAAAA